CATCAGCAGACACCCCCACCAGAGCTGCTGGCTGTGGACCCACCCTGCAGCAATGAGAACTGAGACTAAGCCCTCAGGCCTTCCAATCAGGGGTTGTTTGGGGGAATTGAAACTCTCCTCTCTTCTCTCCCCTAAAATGGATGCTGCAGGGGGTGGAGGAGCATAATTAATGCAAGCGCACGAAGGGCCCCACCTCCCCACCTCGCTCGTCCCCACCCCCAGCCCTTCATTCACAGATGGAAGGCGGAGGCCCAGAGGGATGGTTTTAGGTGTCTATTTTCTGCCTCCAGCCCCTGGCCCCTTTCCTGACCCCCAGTCTTTGGATGGGGAGAAGCCGCACTGCCTGCATGACCGGGATGCCGAAGAAGGAGGAGGGAGACTGTCACTGGGGGATGTCCTTGGTCTTTCGTGCTGAGGGCTCCTAGTTGCCCAAGAAAAAGTCCTGGTACAGGCAGCTAAAACCCAGCCTGGGGACCCAAGAAGGGTATTGAGACCACGCAAGTCAAGAGACCTAGACGGGAGCCTGGTCTCAGAAGTGCAGCTGAGGCTCAGAGAGGGCAGGCAGCTTGCCCTGGATCACACAGCGAACACCGGGAGCCAGCCATGGCCCAGACCCCAGCCTGTCTCTGGAGTCCCCGGCCCCTCTGCCCCAGGCAAGGCTTGTTTCAGTTGGCCATGGGAGCTTCAGGCCAGAATCATTCTGGAATTGGCTGAGGAGACAGCGGGGATACAGCTGAACACAACCCACCTAGCCTTCGTGGCGATGAGAGCCACCCCACAAGCACCCTCTGACCAGGTCCCCACAGTCAGACCTCACACCTAAAAATGAAGGCAGAGCCAGGACCCTATTAGAACCCCTGAGAGAGGGCCCATGTCCCCCCACATAACCTCACAGCTGGGCTGTGTCTCCTCAGACGGCCTCAGGAGGTCCATGCTCCTCATAAGCCCTCAGTGTAGGGCTGTGTCCGCTCAGTGTTTCTCTCCCCAACCCACTCATGTCCCCTCACGCACACTCAGAACAGGGCTGTCTCCCCTCAGACTTCCACGGAAGGTCTGTGTCCCCTCAGAAGGATTGTGCGTCCTCAGACCACGCAGGACCAGTCTTATCTCCTCATTCACCCTCAGAGCAGGGCTGGACCCCCTTATGCTCCCTCAGGAGGTCCGATGTCCCCTCAGATGCCCTCAGGCACCTGACAAAGGTCCGTGTCACCTCACGTGAAAGGTTCTGTCTCCTCAGACCATGCAGAGCAGGTATTGTCCCCTCACTCCCCCTCAGAGCAGACATCCACAAAAGGTCCATATCCCCTCAGTTGCCTTCAGGGGAAGATAGTGTTTCTGTAGCCCACACAGTGCAGCTATCGTTTCCTCAGGCGTCCTCAGAACCCCTCAGGATGTCCAGTGTCTCCTCACATGCCTTTCGAGCAGAGCTGTATTCCCCTCAGATCCCTGGGGGCCCATGTTCCCTCAGGCGCCCTCACAACAGGGCTTGCTCCCCTCAGACTCTGTCGGCACATCCCCTCAGAGGGGAACTCTGTCCCCTCAGACACCCACAAAATGTCCATGTCCCCTCATGTGCCAACAGGGAAGGGTTGGGTCTCCTCAGAGCACACAGAGAAGGTCTCGTCACTTCCCTCACCCTCAGCAGGGCTGGGTCCCCTTGGACCCTCACGGAAGGTAAATGCCTCCTCACCTGCCCTCAGAGCAGATTGTGTTCCCTCAGACCCCTCAGGCTTAGGGGTCAGGCCCAACATACCCTCTGAGCAAAGATCAGGCCTCTTAGGACTCCTCACAGTAGAATTGTGTCCCCTCAGAATCCCCGGGCAGGGTCCAGTCTCCTCACTTGCCCTCAGCGCATGGCCACTCCCCCTTAGTCCTCCAGGGAAGCCCACGTCCCCCTCGCACGCCGTCAGATCCAGGCTCTCCTCAGACCTCTGGGCTGGGTCCTATCCTTTTCATCTTCCAGGGAACTAAGTCTCTGTTCTCCTCATTCTGTCTTCTGTCTTACCACCACCCCAGACTGAGTGCTAGTGGGAGTAGACAATGAAAGCCTGCTCACTCCGGGCTCACATATGGGGCCCGTTTAGTAGTTTCTTCTCCACAGGCTTGCATGTGAGGGTCTGTTAGAGACCTGTCTTTGATACCCTTGGACCCTCCAGACCTGCTCTGAGCGTCAAGCCTGGCCTGTGTTTCAGGAGCGCCCAGGGGTCACATTCCTTTCGAGTCTTCAGAGGTCCCCCTCTCAGCCTGGGCTGGAGGCAGACAAGGCCAGAGAAGGCAGGGCTCGTCCAAGACAGGTGGGAGCTGCAGCCCATCTATTACTGGCCCTAGTCGGAGTCCAGAGCAGCCCACGAGGTGCCCAGACACCGTGGCCGAGGAGACTTGACGAGTCAGGGTCTCCTGGCGTCCTCTGCCCTGCCCGCCTGCTGCCCGGCTCGGCTGCTGTTTACGTGTTCCCTGCGGCTTGGCCGGGCTATGCAGCCTTGAAGGGAGAAATGACCACCTGGCTCCAGCCCCTGTTCAAGGCAAACAGGGTCCTGACAGCCTGCCAGGCCCTCTGAGGGCTCCCACTTCCTCTGCCAACACCTGGATGGCTCAGGCGGGGCTCAGGGCCCCTCTGAGTGGGGAGGCCAGCCCTGGCCCAGGAGCTCCAGGTCTAGGGGAGGGGACCTTGTCCTGAACTAGGAGCTTAGACTGATGTCAGAAGTCCAGTTCTATCCTGGACATCCGGTTGAGGAGGAAAATTGTGCCCAGTCCAGAGGAGGCGGCCTGGCTTTGTCCTCGGTGCGAAAGTCCTGAGGAAAGAGGTATTCAGGGGGATATGAGGGAACCTGGCCCTGTGTGGGGATACCAACCTGAGGGGGTACCCAGCACGTCTCAGGGGCATTTGGTCCAAAAGAAAAGCTCAAAGCACTTGTGGGGGGGGGTCATCTAAAGGGTCAGTGATAACAAGTCTGAGGGGGTGAGCACAACCTTGTTTTTGGGGGTGGCCTGTCTGCTGGGGGTGGGGCGTGGTGTGAACAACCTAAAAGAGGAACACAGCCCTGTCCTGGGGTGTCCAGTCTGATGGGTAAGCACAGCCCTGTCATGGGTTAGAAGAGGTCCCCAGTCTGTGGAGAGGCTAACAACCCCTGTTCTAGAGGAAATCTGAGGGGAGTCTGAGGGGAGGCTCCAATCTGTGGAGCCCATCTGAAGGGAAACAAGGTTCTGTCCTAGAGGTACCCAGTTTGAGTGTTTTGGGGTGAGGAGGCCTTGTGGACTGTACTTTGGAAGCCTCCTGAGGAATCTGGGCTGGAAGATGGGGCCCTGAGGCCCAGCCAGCTGGGGGGTGAGTAACTCTGCCTGTGGGGTGGGTGGGGTGAGTTGCCCTGAAGGCCCAGTGATCTGGAGGTCCCATGGCTAAGCCCTAGAAGTAGCGTGGGGGTGGGGGTGGGGGCATCATAATCCCCTGGGGACAGGGGGCGGGAATGGGGCTTCTGTCCTGCTTAGGTCTCCTTCCCCCAGCCAGTACCTCATCCAGGGCCCTTCCTAACAGCAGTACCTCTCACCCCTTCCCCACCCCGCCACCCAGCCACCAGCCCCCCAACAAGGCAACCTCTCCCCTGACCCCCGTGTAACCTCCTTGGGCCCCGACACTGCAGCACGTTGCTCAGACCTTTTTGCTCTCCCTCCAGAACATCCAGTGGCTCCCAGTATTCATAGGAGTCCTTGATGCTCAGCCTGGTGACTCAGTGGCCTTTAGGTCCTGCCCTATGCGCCTCACACCATTCCAAGCAAATGGAACTCCATAGGTGCACTAGGAACTCCATGGGTGCATCAGGCCTTTGGACAGTTGTTTGTCCTTCCCTTCCATCTAGACGGGCAGGCAGGCCGGACCTGAGGCCGCTCAGAGCACCCAACAGCTAAGTGAGTTTCTGGTCGTAGCCTCATGACCTCTCTCCTAGCCCATGATGGTGGGGGAAACCAGAAGTGGGGATAAGAGATAGGGAGCACTCCCCAGATGCTGAGCCCATGGACAAGAACGAGGTGGGAGCTGGAGGTAAGAAAAAGGGAGGACTAGGCAGGGGCACCAGCTTGTGCACAGACCCAGAGGCAGGGCCATCTTCGGGTCTGAGCAAGGAGCTTGCTCTGGTCAGAACACAAGGTGGAGGTGCAGTTGGGTCATTTCTCAGACTGTCAGGCCGAGCAGAGCCTGTGCCATTCTAGAGCCCGACGGGGGGCGGGCGGCAGGGGCTGAGGGGGCAATGTGCTGGATGGGTGTCAGGTGGGGATGCTAATGGCCACACTGGATCCATAGTGAGTGGATGTGTGGAGTCTCGCAGACACCAACCCAGACGCCCACGCCAGCCAGCCTCTGGGCTCAGAGCCCTGGCTCCCACCCCCCACCCCCCACCAGTTCCTGAGCCAGAGCAGGGACCCCAGCCCACTTTTCACCCAATGGCCTTGGCACTGCTCCTGCACCCTCTGTCTGGTGGCTAGAGGGGTGTCAGGTACAGGGGCGGGGCTGGGGGGTCACGATTGAAGGGTTCCCTGCATGCCCCAGCCTCCAAAGGGCATACAGTGGCCACTATACTGGCAGGAAGGGGCCCTGTAGCAGGGCCCAAGGCTTGGGTACGTGGCCAGGGACCCAAGGGATCTGCTGTCAGCGCTGGGTGACAGAGACTGGGGGCCAGAGCTTCTCTAGGCTTAGACGGTGGCCTCTCCTGGGCCCTTTCTGCCCCCTGTGTCCTGACACCCCAGGGGCTGGCCCGCGGTTCCCAGACCCAGCTCCTGAGATGAGACCAAAAACTCCCCCATGGCTCTCAGCCCCTCCCCTCCTGCAATGAATCCCCAGTTCAGACCTCAGGAAGCCAGACACTGCTTCCTTTTCCCTTTTCTTCTTTTTTTTTTTTTTCCTGTTTTGTCCTCCCAGCCCCAGCCCTGAGTGGGCAACCGTCCAACGACCCATCTCTTGGTTCGCCTGTCCACCCTCACGTCCACAGGTCCAACCCTCGGGTCCCTGATCACATGACTGTCTCCCACTCCTCCTGCAGCAGGACAGGTGGCCTCTCTGGTGCACAGGCCTCCTCATCCAGCCCCGAGCAGGAGCCGTTGAGGAATCCATCTTCCTTAGGAGCGGCCACGGCAGGCGGTGTGGCCTGTAGAGCCGGGGACCCTGACTTGGTGTGGCCGGGCAGCGGCGGGTGGCCGTTGGTGGTGGCCGCGGGCAGCAGACGGGGGCTGAGGGGCAGGCCCAGTCCCGTGCGGGGCCCTACGTTGGTCACACTCGTGTGAGACACCATCGGACCGTAGCTGTAGCTGCTGCTCCCGCTGCGTGCCTTGCGCTTGAAGTCCAGTGCCAGTGTCCAACGGCTCCAGGATTTCTTGATCTCAGCCTGTACCTGGGGTGGCAGTAGGAGGGCAAGAAGTCAGGTATGCCCCAGACCCTTCTGCCACATGTCCCCAACCCCAGCAGTGCCCACATCCCTGCCCCTAACAACGCTCAGCCCTATTCCTGGAAAATTTCAAGGCCAAGAAAAATCCCGTCATTCTCAGAACATGGTGCCTGGCGGCAGGCAATGGACACACCCAGAATGTAGAAGGCTCAAATGACCCCAAGGGTGGCTGAGTGTTCAAACTGGATGACAGACAATTCAACCGTGGGGTTGAGAAAACGCTTGACTGTGCCCACACATCCTGAGCCTGAATCATCTGGAAAGACTTCTCTCTGCCTTCAGAATGTCCTCGGGGATGTTCTTGGAGGAACAAAGTAAGAACCAGGCAGGAGAATGAAAGAACAGGACTTGGGCAGCCCCTGACGCTCCTTTTTTTATTCTTTAATTTTTTTTTTAATTTTTAGATTTTGGGGCACACCACACACCTTAGTTCCCCGACCAGTGATCGAACCCAGGCCCCCTGCAGTGGAAGCACAGAATCCTAACCACTGGATCACCAGGGAGCTCCCTCCACCCCACCCCACCCCACCCCCGGCCCCTGGAACTCCTGCATCCTCCCCGTCTTGCTCCAGTCTGGCCCACCGCTTACCTCACCATTGCAGAAACAGTATATGATGGCAACAAAAAATCCCTGTGAAGAGAGGGTCGTGGGTCAGGGCCCAGAGAGGCATCCGGAGAGGGTGGAAGCAGCCTCCCCCAGCCCACCCGTCCCTCCCACCCTCAGACAGGGCTACATACCTGGAAGGAGTTGAAGAGCATCTCGTAGTGCATCTGGACTTGCCAGAGCGTCCCTGAGACCTCGGTGTACGGCGTGGCCATGAAGACGATGTAGTGGACGCCAAAGAGCGGCATGAGCACCAGTGTGGATTTGAGCAGCTTCCTGGGCCAGTGGGGCAGGCGGGTCAGGGTGGAGTCACTTCGGCCTCAACAGGCACTGTGCACCTCAACCTGCCAGCCCCAGGCTCCAGAAGCCACTAAAAGGCCCGGAGCCCTGGCAGCCGTGGGTAGCGGGGGACAGCCCAGTTCACCTAAGCCAGTGACACTTTGCTGTCTCAGCAAAGTGTGAATAGGGCCCCTTGATTTTGAGGTGTCCCAGAGTGGACCGTAAGTCATGTCGCCCTGTCCCTGCACCTGCTGGTCATTCTGCTGGCGCTCCCCTTCCTCATCCCATTGACCCTCCTCAGGTTTCAGCCAAATGTCCACCTTCTCATGCCCACCCACTGCCCACCTGTCTCTCAGACTCCCTGTGACCGGCTTCTCTGAGGAGAGGTCTGGGTTTGTGCTGCCCTCACAGACCCCAGCTCGGGTGCAGGGGCCTGGCACCAAGTGGCCCAGGCTGGCTTGGGGGTGCCCCCAGAAGCCAGGCAAGATCCCGTCACGGCCGGCAGGGCCAGCCGGGGAGTCAGGAGCTGAGCCCTTCCTTGAGCCAGGCTCAGCCCTGGGGCCTCTGCCTGCTTTTGAACGTGGCCCTGGGTGTCAGCGACCCCCGGGCGCTGAGGCGGCTGGGCGCGGCGGGCGTGGCTCACCGGTACTGCTGCCGCGTGTCACACCGGCCAGCGTTGGTCTCCCGCAGCTTGGTGGCCAGAACCCGGACGATGTTGATGAAGAGGATGAAGTTGAGCTGCGGGAGGGAGGCAGGGCTGCGTGCGTCTTGAGGCCGCAGCCCCAGCAGGGAGGGGCGAGGACTCTGGGACCCACAGCCCCGCCCAGGGTCTGCTCTGCCAAAGCGTGTCCCCAGGCGGCTCCTGAGGTCCTTGGTTCCCCGTGTGGACTGGGGTGAGGGTCAGCTGCCTCATTAGCATTGTGGCTCTAACCTTGGGGTCCAGGGGAGCCCCTATAGGTCCCCATCAGGGGCTGATCGCTGGGACCTGGGGTCCACACTCCCACCCAGCCCTGTGGCTCCAGCCCTGGGGTCCAGGAGACCCCTATAGGTCCCTGTCAGGGGCTGATCACCAGGATCCAGGGTCCACACTCCCGCCCGGCCCTGAGGCCATCTGCTCACCACAATAGAGGCCAGGATGGGCACCTGGATGATCCATTTCTTGTTCCCAGAGCTGAGATCCCAGCACCTGAGAAGATCGAGGCCGTCAGCCCCCACACTCCCCACAAGGAGGCTCCAGGGCGGCTCTGACATCAGCTGCATGTCCCTGCCCCAGAGCACAGGACAGGGGAGTGGGGATGTGGTCGGGCCCGAGGCCACCCACAGAGCCCCTTCCGCAGTGGCCACTGGTGACCTTTAGTGGGCACCCAGCTTGAAGCTGGGCTGAAAACTCCTGAAATTGGGGCCGCTCAGGGCCAGGGGACAGGAGGCGCCCCTCATACGGTCCTTGGAGGAAGAGGGTACCAAGGGTGTTTCTGGCCTGTGTCCCAGCCTCCTGCCCCCTTGTCCACCTGGACCTACCCGGTGTTGGCCAGGGTAGCTCTCACACCGACCCACACAGCCACGAAGATGGCAGGCAGACCTGTGGGCAGAGCGGGACAGAGTGTGAGGGGCTGTAGCTGCTGTCCACTACGTCTCGCTCCTCAGTCCACCTTCTGGGCCATTCCCCTCATCCCTGGTGACCCCAGCTTAGCTCCCCATTGCCCCTGACCCTCCCACCCCCCGGGCACATGGGCTGCTCGGGGACACAGCCCCGCTCTTACACGCGCTGCCCTGCGGTCCCCACAGCCCCCACTCAGGGCTCCAGCCCCCAGGACCCAGTTCAGCCCTCTGCCCTCATCGTGGTTCTGTATCTTCTACCACACACATGCACTCCTGTTGGGCACTTGGTGAAATAAGGGATCACTAATTTATCCACACCCAGTCCATTCTGCCCTCCCCTCCCCTAAAGGGTGCTGTTCTGGGCTGGGGGCTCCCTATGGAGGGCAGCTTACAATCAGGGGTCTTCTGTTCCAGCATCCCCCCAGCTTTGAAAAGTCCCCATGGATGAGGTTGGATAGTGTGAGGGTTCTTGATCCAGGGGCTATAGAGGAATCTCAGTGTGCCTAGGCCTGAGCCAGTTCAGATGGTACGTGGTACCTCTGAGTGAGTTTTGCTCTAGGAAGGAGCCCCATTCCCAAATCTCCACCCCCTCCCACTTCATTCCAGGTCTGGTGCACCCTTGGGAGGGGCAGGGCATGACTTGGGTTTGGGCAAGGAAAAGAGCTGTGATGTCCCTGCGCCACAAAGTGCTGTGTGTTCCCCTATCTGTGTGTGGACACCTTCTACCCCAGAGCCTGCATCAGCCTGCAACTCTGGAGCTTGCCATGGGTGAGGTCAAGGTCAGAGTGTCCACCAAGGGGCAGGGAGGCTAGGACTATCGATCTAAGGGCCTTGAGGTGCTGAACGCAGGGAGGGCTCCACCCACCCAGCCTGCCCCTCTGCAGTCTGGCCAGTTGCCCCGGAGCGCGGCCAAGCTCTGGAGCTGCCAACAATAATGGACAATTATCGGTAACTCGATCCTGAAGCCCGTCGGGGAGGAGGGCAGAGCCCCAGCCACCATTCTGCAGAGGGGCTGTCAAAGCCCAGAGGATGCTATAGAGCCAGGGCCTGCAGTTCTGGGCCACGAACTCTGTGCACGGGGTGGCAGAGGCCTACATAGCTCCATGCAGCGTGGGGAGTGGTGGAGAAACGGGACTCAGGGTGGAGGGAGGGTTCCAGATCCCAGCTCCAGTACTGGTGATACAGTGATGAGCATAGCTGCCTTCCAACTCCAGCCCCACACTGACCTCTGACCCAAGGTCCACTCTGATCCTGAGTGGAGTCTTGACCTGAAAATTGCCTGCCCTTCCCTCTCCTGGCCTGAGCCTCAACTCCATGTGAACCTGCCTCCAGGAGAGCCCCAACTTCAGGCTGAGCCAACCCCAAGAGAACCTCTGGCCAAGCCCTGTTCCCTGAGCCTGGGGCGGGGGGGGGGGGCGGTCAGCCAGTGGGGCATCTACTGCCCCACATCCAGCCCAGGACGTGCCGTGTGGGTGTCTTCCCCTCAGTGGCACTCTCTGACCCTGCCGTCCATGGTCCCACCCTGCCCATGTGCCTGCGTACCCCAGCCGAAGACTGTGAAGCCCCAGAGGTACTTCTTCTCTGAGAAGAAGGCCATGAAGATGAGGCTATGCAGATACAGCCCCTCCACCAGAATCCAGTAGTAGTTGGTGGCCAGGAAGTAAAGGAAGACGGTCACAGCCACCCGGCAGCCCACCTAGGAAAGCAGCTGATGTTAGCCAGAGCGCAGGGCCTGCATCTGGGGAAGGCTGGGAGGGACGGATGGCGGGCAGTGCTAGGGGATGCTGCTAAGATCGGACAAGCTCTACTAAGGGCAGAGGCCGAGGAGTGTGTGCTGAGAAGACAGAAGGACACTCAGGACAGTGGTGGGGACGCGGGGATCATGGAGAAAAGGTGGGGTGGTTGGGGGCCTGGGCCGAGGCAGGAGAGTTGATGAAAGTGCAGGGTGCGCGGGGAGGGAATTCACAAAGCCCTAGGCAACAGGGGTTGGAAGAATGCAAAGGGTGGGTGTGAGCCGCCCGAAGCGCGCGCGTGGTCGCAGGAGACAGGTGAGGGCGAAGGTGCGTGGGGCTCCTGCGAGGCGGGCGGTGGCGAGGGGCCCCGGGCGGGAGGGCGCGGGCCGCCAGAGGCGGGCACTCACGTAGCCGGCGGCGGCGGCGGGCGGCGGCGGTGCCTGGGCGATGGCGCGCAGCTCTTCCTCCGTGAGGCGCTCAGCCTCGTCGAGGGCGGTGCCCGAGTAGAGAACCGCGTCCTTGACAAAGATGCTCACGGCGCGAAGCATGAAGGACAGGAACAGATGCATGTGGATGTAATTGCGTGTGCAGTGCAGCCTCCTGCAGGGCGCGCGACAGCACGGTGGGTGGGGGAGCACGGGGGAGCGCGCTGGGCGGGCAGGGGGTACATGGAGGGGTAGGGAGGCCCCATTCTTCGGCCCCACCCAACCATGCCCTTGGCCACGCCCACTGTCTCCCCTCGGCCCCGCCCACGTCCCCTCGCCACTGACCCCCGCCCCACTCCTCGCCCCGCCCACCTAAAGTAGGCCAGGATGAGGACCGCCACGGTGAGAGATGCAAGCGAGACGGAGTAGCCCACGGTGTAGATCATGCCCAGGCGGTCAAACACCTCCTGCGCAGGTGGGGAGTTACCGTCAGAGCCCTGGGACTCGGGTGAGCAGGTTAAGGGTCGGAGAACACAGGTACTTTTGCTGGAGGAGTCAGGACTAGGTCAGAGGTCACGGGGCGGGGGGGGGGGTGTTGGTGGTCGGGTAGCCTGATCCGGGTCAGGTGATGGGGGAAAGGCTCGCACCCGTTCGCGCGTCTCATTGGTCAGGAACTTGACGCACTCGCTGTAGTTGGCCCACGTGCGGTTGTGCCCCGGCACCAGCTCCCAGCTGCCATTGCGGTCACAGCGGCGGTAGGCATGGCCTGCAGGTCCGCAGGGGGCGTCAGGGCAGTCAGGTCTGGAATCCCTGAACCCCTGAGCTCCAAGTCCTGACGGTGCCCATGGGTTCCCAACCCTACTCCAGCCTGCCTTACCTTTGTGATTGAAGTCGTAAATGTAGTCGGGACAGGGCATGGCTACCACCTCCCCTGGAGCCCCCATCGGCCAGCAAAGGATGTGGTCCCACTCCGGCAGGCAGGGGCGCCCTGTGCCCACAGACACAGACAGAAAAATGTGGAGGACACCTGTCAGATCCACCGTTAGTGACCCAGAGGAATAAACACACCTGTGGTCACTGGCTCCTTCAGGGGGCACCCGAAGACTGGAGAACTCAGGCTTGGAGTGTTCTGGAGAGAATGTATTGAGCTCTTACTCCTGACTGCGCCCTGCACCCCCTGGCCTCGTAGAATTCACTATCGCCCCTCCTTGCGGGTGTTGGCAGTGGCCCCATTTTCTAGATTGGCTAGCAGAGGCCAAGAGAGGCGAGTGATCTGCCAAGGTCATACCCAGGGCCCCGCCCTCCTCAAGTTCTCAGCCCCTGGCCAGGTCTCCCTCTTTTCTCTCTGTTCTTGGTCCCACCTTCCAGGTGTCCCTGGAGAAGGGCAAGTCCCAGAGTAACTCTCTTTCAGCTGAGAATGCTTCCAGAGTGATCCATGCCCAAGGACCATGGACCGGAGGCAGGAACTCTCATTTCCAGTGCCAGCTGGACTCCTGAAGAGCTGCCCACCTCATGCAGGTGTCTACCTTCTTTGCACTTCAGTTCCTTCACTGGGGAATTGGGATTGATATGTACTTCCACCACTACCCGAGACCCGCCCCGAGCACCTGCTCTCAGACTCTGGTGACCACTCATGGAGGGACATGTAATCCCCCAAATCCATAAGTGCTAATTGTGGGATTCAAGGCAGGGCGACACATCCCACTTTGGGGCTCCAGCCTCACAGCAGAGATGCTAAGTGACCTTGGAAAGACTCCAGCCTCTGAATTTTCCACTTTCCACCCCCAGCTCCCTTCTCTCCCTTCTCTCCCCCTGAAGAGCTCCAACCACAGGACTCTCCAGCCACCCTGGAAGGTTGCCTTGATGGCCAGACCCACCCTGGCTTGGTGAAAGACTCTCTGTCCTGGGCACCATATTCCCAGCCCCGCCTAGCCAGGCCTACAATTCCCTCTGATCCCTGGGGAGCCACAGGGTGACCACAGCCTCCCAGATGTGGCCCATCTGGAATCTGCTGCCCACCCAGCCGGTTCAAACCGGCCCTGTGGCTGCAGCCTGGGTTCCACGTTTGTCTCTCCTCACCTCCCCCAGGGACAATGCAGCCCGCATGTCCCTCCCTCTCTTCTCTTCTGCCCTCCTCCTCCTCCCCCTTCTGGCCCCACCCCTTCACAGCCACCTTCCTGTCCTGCACCCCACTCTGTCCCACCCCACTGTGTGTCTTGATGCACCTCCCCTGACATATTGAGTCCCCGTCCCAGTGCCTCTTGGTCCCGTCTCCCCCTGCCTCTCTTTATTTCTGTCTCTATGTCTCCACGTCTCTCCCTGCTCCTCTCTTTTCTGGGTTCTCTGTCATCTCTCTCCATGGGAGGGGCCATAACCCAGGGTCTACCCCTGAGGTGTGTGGGTCAAGTTCTCTGCCCACCTCTCGGGGTCCAAGTCCATCCAGCTTGCCTGCCCCCTCCACTCCATCTCCTCCCAGCACCTCCCTTCCTCCAAGAGCCGAGGAGCATGACATCACATGAAGGTGGCAGAGCCATCAGACGGCTGCAGGGAAGCACAGACGTACCTCGGGGCCTGCTGCCAGTGGGCACCTCCTTGTCCTCCTCGGACTCAGGGTGGAGCTTCCCAGATGCCTTCTCTTTCTTGGGCTTCCCTGATGTGGACGCGGATGCCCATCCTTTGTCTGACTCCACTATGTCGGCTGGAGAAATCAGGGCAGTTATGGCTGTCAACAATGCTGCTACTACAGGAGACCCAGGGTCCCCTCCTGCCTCGGACTCCCCCTCCACACAATGCGGGTTGTCCCCTGCGCTGCTGACACCCAGCCTGACGACAAGTAGAGACGTGCCTTGCAAACAGCAAAGTGCTTGCCAGGTACAGAAGTAATCAGGAGGCATGTAGACAGTCACAAGGGGCTCAAAGGGGAGCGAACGCCTTTCAGGTGTGGGATCAACTAGTGGTTTGAGCAGTAAATGCGGCCAGAAGTGTTGTCTGATTCAGCACTTGTAGCCAAAGCCCACCAGGGGGCGCATGGCAAGCGCAGACCGTGGTGGTTATGTCAGCAGAGAGGTTAAAGAGCAAAAATGAAGTCTGGTCAGAGCGCCCCTGTAGGTCTAGAAGCCAGTGGTATAAAAGACAAGAGCAAGAGTGTGCAGCTGTCAAGAGACGGCCAATGAGCCCACCTACCCCATCCCCTGCCCTGGGGTACCCGAATAAGGGGTCCACAGCTTCCACAAGGGACCCTGGAGCCTCTCCATCTCAGATGGGACCTGGCCTTTCCCTCTGCTTGATGTCTGAGGTCTCTCTTCCTCTCTGAAAAGTCTTCCTCCTTATCTGATCTTCAGCTGCAGCCTCCTGGCCCTCCCATGTCAGGTTTTGTGGCAACAATGGGATGCTAATTGCAGACACCCTGGGCTGAGATAGAATGGCTGTGCCCATTTTCAAATCCACCTAAACCTGGGGGCATCAGTAGGGTGGGGGTAGCAAAATGAGATGGAGTGAGAAGGGAAGGCCTCCATGGTTAAACAGAGACAGCAGAGGGGGGCGCCTCCAGGCTTCTACAACCAGAAAGAGGGCTGGGTTCAGACCCTCCCAGCTCCTGATGTGACTGGGGCAGGGGACCAGGGAGCCACTGGTGGGGCCAATGTGGGCAGGACTCTGACGGCAGAGACCATGTGAGTCCCTGTGACTGGAAGCGAGGGCTGTGGGCTCCAGGGCATGTCACTGTGCGCTTGCATCCAGGGTGCACATCACCACTCTCTCCCAGGGGTCTGAGGGCCAGTGCAGGGGAGGAAGCTGCTCTTGCCCGCCAATCAGGTGGGGTCTGGGTCTCTTCCAGGTCAAGGGGATTCATCAGACAGAAGTCAGAGGCTGGCTGGTTGCTCATGAAGCCCCATTTCCGCTTTCAGGAAATGGACTCAAGGAAGAGACCAGCTTGAGACTGGGGCAGGAGCTGTGAGGTCAGGTGACTGCCCCTCCCAGTTTGACCGTGGCCGGGGTCCCCTGGAGATGCTGTGTTGGTAGGAGGGAGTGTTCTTACCCCTTCAAGAGCTCTCTACTGGACAGTGACCATGACTGACATGGATGCCCATCCGTATTCCTCTACTCTCCTTCCCTTCCAGCCCCAGCCCCATTCTCCTGAGCCTGGACACCCTGCCTTGCCCTGTGCCCGGGGCGGGGAGGGGGGCTCTTTCAAAGACCTGTTCACGCTTCTGGACCTGCACTGGCTACTGCTCTCTCCTCTAGGAGGCAGTCCTGGCCCACTCCAGCGCTCCTGATCCTAGTGGGCCTCACCACATCTACGCGTTAGAGATGATTCAGACTGTAGCTGCTTTCATGCCCTCCTATCCCGGCTCTGGGAGGGGAGGCTCAGAGCATCTCTGAACCTGCTGACTTTCAACTCACCTGACTCACCCCACTTTTGGTCCTCACTGTGGCCTGGCCCCCTTTACCTGGACCCGCCCTCCCCTGGCGCTACCCGCTTTTGCCTCCTGGGCGGCCACCTTCCTCTGGCCCCCTGTGTCTCCTGCCCTTGCCCACAGACCCTCCTTCGGCCCCGCCCCACCTGGCCTCTGCAGGACTTCTTTGAGCCGCTTCTCACACTGGGCCTGGGCGCGGTGCAGCAGGAAGATCTGCTCCTCTTTGGTCATGACGTCATCTGCATCCACCTACCGAGTGGAAGGTCAGATTGCAGGCAGCACTTCCCCACGGAGTGGCGGACGCCACAACTATCCCAGCCTCCTTGAGGGACACACACACACACACACACACACACACACAAGAATGTGGGGAATCCACCTTATGTAGCTCCATTTTACAGACAAGCAGCCTTGGCTTCGAGGGGAATGGCCTGACCTACCAGAGGGAAAAAAGGGGAAGGAAGGAGGGGGCTGTCCCCCACTTGCCCGATAGTAACCCCATAGAAGGCAGCCTCTGATAGCTGCTGTCCAGTCTGTTCCCCAAGGGTGCGTGGGAAAGGGATGGAATGTCCCAGGATGGATGCTCACCGGATCTTGCCGTCTATTGGGGACCCTGGGTAGGGAGGGGATGGGTAAGGGGTGGCGAACTCTGGGGAAACAAACGGGGGGCCTGGATTCCTGCAAGTCCTAGTGCCCTCGGGACCTTAGGAGTCACCGATTTCCATCCTGGCCCTCTCCCCAGTCAGTGCTTTCCCCCAGAATGGAGAGTGCCTCGGCCCCTCCCACCCTTGAGGTCCCAGGAGGGAGGGGATGGAGAAGCTGCTGGCAAGTGGTCTGGGTTGGGCAGGGCACTCGCGTGCAGGCTGTGGGTGGGAGTCACCCCCATCAATAGCTTATCTGGAAGCTTTCCTCCATCCCTGTAGACCCTGTGTTCTGCTGATGTGGACAGACCTCGGTTCCTGCTCTCCCCTCTGCCCGGGATGCCCTTCCTTCCTTTCCTTCCAACACTGCACACCCTGGGCACTGGCTGCCACGCGCTAGATTCACTGGCAGTATTTTAAGGATGGAAACGAGAGCATCATGGCAGGGGGGAGTGAGGGCGGGTCTCACTCTGGGCCTCTGTTTCCCTGACTTAGGGTTGGGAGTCAGAGGTTATAGGCAGCTGCCCTGGGAACAACTCTGTGCCCCAGCCCCGCCACTGCCAGGAGGAACCACAAGAGGTTAAAGCATCCCCTCAGACCCCACCTTCACCCTCCAAGACAGGGCCATGTCCCTGCAGAGTCCCAGAACTGGGGGACGGGTCCCATGAGACCACTCAGACCCAGAGCTGGGCTGTGACCCCTCAGACTCTACAGGGCAGAGCCTGGTTCTCTTAGACCTTCAGCGGCGGAGCTGCATCTATTCAGACGTCCCCCGGCAGGGCCGGGTCCCTTCAGCCTGCACGGAGCTTTGCAGGGCGGGAGAGCCCAGAGGAGGCGGGGGAGGGAGGCGGCGGCCGGGGAAGGGGCGGGTACCCGCGCTAGGGGCGGGCCGGCCGGCCGGGCGGGTCAGGGAGCCCGCTGCAGGGAGAAGTTAATTGACCGAGTCTCTTGGTGGCAGCAGCAAGGGTTTCTAGAGCCAAGGAGTCTCCAATTGGCTCGGTCGGACGAGGGTTCTGCTGGTTTCACTTAGCGTCTTCGCGCGTGCGCGTGCGTGGCTGCACATCCTTGAGTGGCCGCGCACACGCGGTCTGGCGATGTGTGCACTTGCGTGTGCCCCTGTCTCTGTGTATTCTCAGGTGGGGATCTCCAGCGTGCACATCTGGGACATGAGCCTGAGTGTCTGAAGGTGTTTCTGGGTAAAGGTCCGCGTGTGCGCGTCTGCGAGTGTGTGATAAGGGTTGCTCATTAGCCTGTATGTCTGTGGGTATCCGTGCTTTTGCGCGCGTATCACTGGCATCTGAGTTGGACCCTGAGATCGCAGCTGGACCCAGTACCCAGGAAGGGCTGGAGAGATTCTCGTGTTTGCTGCTGGCCCCTACAGCTCCCCTCACTTTCCCCACCTCCAGCTTTGACTGAGCAGACTAGGGCAGAAGTGGCCCTGAGAACTGGGGTTTGAGGGAGGCAACTCCGGTCTGCCCTAATCCAGGGAGCTCCCAGACTAACCTGAGGTTCTCTCTGTGCCTCTGGCATTGTGGACCCAGGCTGCTGAGGGGTCTGATCCCAGCCCCACGACAGCACCCTTTCACCACCATTTCCATTATTGCAATTGGCACCTCTGTCAGCTAGCACCATCATCACCTTGACCACCAACACTAACACAACCCCCCCCCCAATACCACCACCACCATGAGCACTAACCACTATTAACACCAGCACAGCCACCATCAGCCCTGTCACAGCTGGTAGAACATCACGACCATCGCCAGCACCAGTGCCTTTTCCACTAGCGCAGTGACCACCACGACCATTGCCACCACCAGTGCGTTTTCCACCAGCGCAGTGACCACCACGACCATCGCCAGCACCTCCAGTGTTACCACCACCATTGCCATCACCACCCTCACCAGCACCATAATCACCAAAGGCAACGTGAGCACCATCACGGACACCAGCCCCATAACCACTGTCAGTACCATCTTTCCTGTATCTTATTCTTACTCCCTCAGCCCCCTTCCCCACCACCCCTTCTCCTTCTGTCCACCTTTATCTCTTTCAAGACGAACAGATATTCACCATACTTTTTCTTTTTTTCTTTTCCCTGAGCTGACGGAAACCTCCAACTTCCACCAGTCTTGGGGAAAGCCTGGCACACCGGCCCTCTCCACCGACAGACTAGCCCACTGATGTGACTGAATGTCACAGCTGGTGCCCTGGACTAAAGGCAGGCAGGCAGTCGTGGGTTGAAAACTGCCCATTTGGCAGACTGACAGACAGACAGGTGTGCAGCTGGGTGAGGACCAGGATCTCAGTCCTAACCCTCTCACAGGCCCAACGCATCTGCTCAGCCTCTACCTATTGCACTCTCTCTGTGGCCAAGAGGAGGCACATTCTCTGCCCTGAACTCTCATTTCCCGGTGGGTCTGGGGATGCCCAGGAAGGGGGAGGGTATGTGCTTCAGGCATCAGATAGCCCCCAGATTCCTTCACCCACAAGGTCGGGGGCACCATCTCTGGCCTCTCTAAACTGTATGACCCATTTGTCTGTCACCCAATCACAGCAGAACTGCCAGTGCAGCAAGAAGAGTTCACGTCAGTCAAGAAAGCACTTTCAGGACTTCCCGGGTGGTCCAGTGGCTAGGACTCTGCTCCCAATGCAGAGGATCTGGGTTCGACCCCTGGTTGAGGAACTAGATCCCACAGGGCACAACTAAAAGATCCTGCATGCCACTACTAAGACCTCATGCAGCCAAATATATATACATATAAAGAAAGCACTTTCCCAAGGAACGGAGGGCAGCCCTACATCAAGTGCATCCCCGCTTGCTTTAGAGCGCAGCACCCCGGCCTGGGGCGTGCCCATCACATCTCCCTGCACCTGCACCCTCTCCTCATCTAAGGAGATTCTGCCACCAGCCCTGGACCTTGAATCCACCTCCACCACCAACTGGCTTTATATCTTTGGTACAGTTGTTTAACCCGTGTGCCTCAGCTTTCCACCTGTAAAATCAGGACAACAAGAGGGCTGCTTCGGGGACTTCCCTGGTGGTCCAGTGGTTAAGACTCTGCACGTCCTCTGCAGGGGGCACGGGTTCGATCCCTGGCTGGGGGACTAAGATTCCACAAGCTGTGCAGTGCTGCCCAGGATAAAAATAAATGAATAACAGGGCTGGTGTGAGGGTTAAATGAGGCACTGCATGGAAAGCTTGGTGGAGGTGGAGCCCATGGAAAGCTGGTGGCTACCACTGCTACCTGGTCAGCAGCATCACCAAGTCCTGGCTTTCCGAGTCCGCTTATGGACCACTGTGCTGCAGGACACCGTGGGTGCCCCCAGGCTGGGGACCCAGAGAGACAGGGGAGATTGAGTAGATGACTGGGTCCAGGGGGCCACAGTGAGGGGCACGGGCCGGGGATGGGGTTCCAGGGAGGACTGGGAAGGGGGAGTATAGGACAGCCTGCAGGCTGAGGTGTGCCTGGCAAGCTTTGGGGGTGAAAGGCATTCCAACAACTCCAGATGTGGATTTCTGGATCCACCCTGGACTCACACTAAGATTCCAGGTCACTGCCAGACCCCCCACACTCTGCTTCTGCTCTGAGTGAGGAGGTCGTATCTCCTGGGACAGATGCAGAAAATGCTGATAGCTCTGATTCTCCTCCTGGCCTGGCCACTCCATCTACTGTGTCCTCCCTGACCAGCCCCTTTCCCCCTGCAGAGTTCAGGTCTCCTTGGCTTGGCTCCTGGTAAGGAGGACTCAGACTTACATCATTTTAGATCCAGAGAGTGTGCAATCTTGGGTCTCACTGGTGAGGATGGAGGGGCCGGGGGCTGCGTCATGGCCAGGGGGCAGTTAATCCATACACACCACTGATAGGGTCACTGAGCCCTGGTGACAGGTGTCCCGAATCCCCCCTCCTCCCACGCCCCTTCTAGGGTCTTGGGTTAGGGCTGACTTCCCCTGACCTGACCACGGTAGGGCTTGGCTACAGCACTCTCCCCGCGTTCCACGCTCCACATGGAACCTTCCTGGGTGCACACATGTGCATGATCTGTAGTTTGTGAACAGGCAGGGAGAGAGGTGGCCTGGGAGCCCAGAGTTGGTATCTATGGGGCTCCAGGCAGGGTGCAGAGCGGGGCTGAAAGCCAGTATGTTATTTACAAACATAGAAGCTGCTGTCTCAGGGAGAGAGTAATGTGTGGTCAAGAAGCCCGGATGTGTTTCTCATTTCCTGAGTTCAGAAGCTGACAGGGAGAGAAAAGCCATCTGCTCAGTACCCCTCCCGCCGAGGGGTGGGGGCAAGCGGCTCCTTCTAACTCGGCTCCCGGGGCGACCCCATGGAGGATGGTACTGGAGCTGGGAAGGCAGGGATGGTGGCAGTAGGGCTGGAGATGCAGACAGGGAGCGGGGCGATGTGGAGGCCGGTGATGGCGATGGAGGTGTGATGGTGCGGATGGTGGAGAGCCAGCTCCATGCCACTGACCAAATGAGGGCTGCTCCTTTCGGCCCCTCTCCTAACTGCCAAATTCCACACATTTGCTGTCTGTGATCCCAGACATGCCTACAGTTCTCCTCCTCCAGGCAAAATGAAAAAGGAAATACAAGGGATCCTTCTT